GTGCTGAAGACCAGGTGTACACCAGCAGATCTCTGACACCATGGTCCTATTTAGCTGTTAGTAGCTACGATAGATAATAGCTGTAGCCCGTACGTACAGGATGCAGTTGGTTTGAGATCGCTTGGGGCTCTGTGGGTGAAGATCTGCGGGGTGGAGCAAACAAGAAGTTTCTTTACCGGTGGTCACCTAAAACGTCGGTTGTCGAAGGGGGCCGCTGACAACCGTGAAGAACACTGATTATTTTTCGCCGAACCTAATGCTGTTGTAGTAGGGCAGGGTAAAGGAGCCACCGGTAACGACTCTGAACGTTGCAGGGTTTTGCTCTGCGAGACACACNCGCTTGGGGCTCTGTGGGTGAAGATCTGCGGGGTGGAGCAAACAAGAAGTTTCTTTACCGGTGGTCACCTAAAACATCGGTTGTCCGAAGGGGGCCGCTGACAACCGTGAAGAACACTTATTTTTCGCCGAACCCAATGCTGTTGTAGTAGGGCAGGGTAAAGGAGCCACCGGTAACGACTCGGAACGTTGCAAGGTTTTGCTCTGCGAGACACACTTCATACAAGCCGCAACCGCACACAAGCGCCGTCCTTTCCCGAAACGTGTATCCGATGGCANCCCAATGCTGTTGTAGTAGGGCAGGGTAAAGGAGCCACCGGTAACGACTCGGAACGTTGCAAGGTTTTGCTCTGCGAGACACACTTCATACAAGCCGCAACCGCACACAAGCGCCGTCCTTTCCCGAAACGTGTATCTGATGACCGTGCTGCGGGTACTGATGGTGATTTTGTACTGTAGTGGTCCCGATATTGTGGTGTGTAAAATAAATGTGCCCCTATCCATGGCAATGCCACTTGTGGATATAATGGCAACAATGCTCCTATTGAACAGTTGTTCCTTCGATCTTCACTCGTATGCGTTGTGAATGTATCCGGGGTCCCTTTTTGTTGTTTGCACCAGTATCCGCGTGAAAACGTTGTGTAATTCTAGCTCATCGTCAGGAAAGCCAGCGCGCGGTTTGCGAACCCGTCCTTCTCCCCAAGCGGTCGGTTTTGGATTTAAATAGTTCTAGATCCGCGTATATGCCGGCATTATTACGTGTCGCGTGGCGCCCGCTGCTGTGTGTGTGTCATGTGTGTCGTTGGTGCGTGCGTCAACAATCAGGGGGGCTCCGGCGGCTCGAATTGCCACTTTTGGGGGGATGAGATGCTCCAAAGTGCTCCAAATGCCGCTTTTCAGGGTCCCGTCCTCAATAGCGGTACAACGCTACCATAAATGGTTGAGATTGTAACTATATCGGGACCACGACTTCACCGACATGTAGCAGAGGGCGGATGTGTCGGCCGTTGGTGCTCCAATTGAACGAGCGGCGAGAGCGAGCACCGCAGTCGTGGAGATCCTTCCCGATGAAATCATGCAAAGGGGGCAAACACCTTTACATGATTTCATCGGGAGTGGACGGAACTCGATCATGAGGAATTCCTGGCGATTTTTGTATGAACACCAGGACGCTGAGTTTGCGATGCGTCAATGGTGTTGTGTTCGCTCGTTCCACAAGCAAGCTAGGATGGAGATCAAGCGAAGTGACCAGCAAACCCGATGTTGCTTCAGACATAGTAAACACAGTTGGCAGCCTGGAGGCATGTACCGTGATTCTTGACCCAAGAGGTAAGAAATCGATTGTACTGCCTTCCCTCCTCGCTTCTTTCGTTGCCATGACTTTTTTTAAACGATAATCGACTTGATTTCGACCGAGACCGACACGCCTTTGCCTGCGCGCCAACTGTTTGTGTAAACCTGCCAACGTTCGCCCGCTGAAGCTTGCGCACGCCCTAATGCCACAATCGCGACGTCACAAGCACCCGCCGCCAGTCAGGGATCAACACGCGGAAACAGCAGGGAGTAAAGTCTCTCACCGTCAGATGCATGACACGTTTTGCGTATGCACATACATACGCACGCGTGTCAAAACAAATTT